GACGGGGAGAACAGTTAGCTATGTATGACGACACATGCACTGAAAATTAGTTATAGTTTTTATAGAGGTCTATAGTTAGAAAATCAGTTATGCAATCATAGAGTTTGCATTGTAGTAATCTTGCACAGCGTACGTTCAACAGGACCTTTATTTATTGCTGTCAATATTCAATAATGAGCATAGGAATTTCATCGATGACGTCATTCGAGCATTTCCGCTTACAAAGAGAAAACACTTTGAATGCAAAGTTTCATAATGGAACACATCGTAAAAACCTCAGGTTGTAACATATGATAGAAAATAAAACATACTTTTACATTTCATCATCATCTCAATGTCCATTTTTGTAATAAATATAAAAAATTAAAATTGCATTTAAAGTTGAGTGACTTAAAATAAGGTTTACACTGCAGGTCGATTTAAAGACTGCAACAACCAATTCAAGGTTTATGATTGGTTCAAAGTATAGTGAAGTAAAAGATGCCATAGAAATGACGAATCTCAATAATTAGAGTTTGTCGCTGTTATCTAATTGACCCAATCGGAAAATCAGTTTATATAAGGTAAGTACTAATTTAAAAATGAACACACAAAAGAGAGATTAAAAAAATGAATGCAACAGAAAAACATAGCTACCACAGCGTAATAATGCAATACCTAGATTAAAATATTTTATGCGGTTTTACTCTATGCTATTCACTGACATTTACGTACATAAATTTTATCGAAAAACAAAGTTCTCTAGACGGATGGTTGTATTGAAAAATACTAAATTTATAGTAGAAAAACATAAGAAACACACGATACAGAGAGTTAAGAGGTTCAACTACTTTCCCACCCTCTCTCGCAAGAGAAGTACCACCACCACCACCACTTGCACATGCATCACCACTTCTCTGCAAGTACATGCCACCAGCAGAACCACCACCCTCCTCTCACGTAAGAGAAGTATTGGTACCACCAATACAACCCCCTTTCCAGCAAGAGAAATACAAGCACCACCACCAACCTCTCTCCTGCAGGAGAAGTACAAGCACCACCATCAACCTCTCTCCCGCAGGAGAAGTACGAGCACCACCATCAACCTCTCTAACGCAGGAGAAGTACAAGCACCACCATCAACCTCTATAACGCAGGAGAAATACAAGCACCACCACCAACCTCTCTCCCGCAGGAGAAGTACAAGCACCACCATCAACCTCTCTAACGCAGGAGAAATACAAGCACCACCACCAACCTCTCTCTCGCAAGAGAAGGGCAAACACCACCATCAACTTTCTCCCGCAAGAGAAGTACAAGCACCACTACCAACTCTTCTCCCGCAAGAGAAGTACAAGCACCACCACCAACACTTCTACCACAAGAGAAGTACCGTCACCTCTCCACCCTCTCCTGCGAAAAAAGTACCAGCAACAGTAGCAATGACGTGAAGAGTTGAGCTCCAGATATCTAATTCTGTAATGACTTAATACAAATTTATGACAATCCTCCATACCCCTGTATCATTAGAAACTGTGCTTTAAACTTTAAGAACGAACCTTTGAGCTTTTAAACGTCTTCACAAGGTTTCAACAATAAAAGAAATAAAAATGTCTTATCCTTTTACAAGTCACACATTTACACAATTCTCATCAATCCTAATGTATAGTTTTTATAGTAGACAAAAATATTTTGGCAAAAAATATATTATCAATATCCAATAACAAAAACAATTTTACAAAACGACACAATCATAAATTCGACATAATAAACTGTTTTAGAAAAGTTGTCAAAGAACATCTGTCATTTCTGCATATCACTTAATAACAAAAAAATTTGCGCGAAATAATAAACGCACTTTGTAATGATAATTAAAAATCTTTCATTTCTGACATAGCTTTTAGTGTAGCTAATATTAAAATCGGAACTGCTGAATAAATAAATTTTACTGATGCATTTACTCCAATTTTCACCTGTTTTTACGTAAAACAAACTAGCTAACAACTTTATCATTATGAGTTATATATTCTAAATCCACTAAACTTTGGTTTCATTTGAAATATAAAATATGAAATAAAAATTTCTGTGCAGTAGTTATAAGGTTTATGGGTCTTCGAATACAATAATTCGCTATTGCGCAAAAGGAATATTTTTCATTATCCTTAAAATGAAATTTTGGGAGTAAAACATTACACCGGAGTATAGGGAGATTTAGAACGAAAACGGGATTTTCTATTTTTAAAGTTTTACTTTTATTTACAAGAGTCCTACCCGTAGAATAAACTATAATATCAAAGGATAGTACAAAGTTTCAAACAACTTCGGCCAATTTGACTTAATTTAAACCAGCCTTAAACATGTTTAGACATTTTTAATTTGTTGATAACTTTCAGTCTTTCACAGCATAACTCTTTCATTTATAAGACTTTATACTTTTTAAATTGATAACATTTAATAAACCAAGTCATTCGCACAGTCCAAATTGAGCCCCACATTCAATCTTTTAATGTTGTGAAATTTTAAATCATTTTGGATAGAAAACTGTCTTAAAGAAATTTGCTTAACAATCAGCTTATCAATTGCCCATTCGGGATAAAGACTAGTGATCACAAAGATAACAGAAAGTTGCATTGAAAGATAGAAGTGCGCTATTTTAACGCTGTTATTTTGATTAGGTGTTGTTATATGATGTTTTTTAAGTGCTTTTCGATTGCCATAAGCCCATAACGAATAGCAATGTAACATAAGAAACATCAAAACTAGACGACTGACCACATTATGAGATAGAACAGCCAGGCTGAGACATCATTAGTCATTCATCAAGAACTTAATGATACGTCAAAACGCAAGGATGGATTTAGGGCAGGGTTGAAGAGAAATATGCACCACCCTCCACTACCCCCCAGTCTTAGATACACAAGATGGAAGTCAATTTCCCTGCAAAATACTAATATATCAAACAATTAATGGACACACTTAATAATCGAGCCTCTTCCCTCCCTCCCCCCCCTCCCACATACACTGACACACAGACACACACAAACCATCATCTCTGATCATTTCGGTGAAGACAGCAAGATATTTCCTTTAATCACAATAAGAAATATGTTTGTATAACAGGAGGATGTCACTGCACTAAGAAGATTAGTACAATCAACACGTGCACAAATCCAACCAATTTAGCGGGAAAAGATCGATAACTATTTTCACTTCACAAGAAGAAATCGTTGATTTTAATCTGAGACAAAAATATTGACAGACAAAGAAGAAAAGAGAGCTTCAATCTGAAACTTTGATCCCATCGTTAACTAATGACATTCAAAGTGAAAGATATGAAATTTCTTAAAGACGTAGCTGTTCAAAACAATAGCGACAGACTGACAGGTATTTCAGACAAAATGCACATCAGAACACACAAACACGGTTATAGATTTATACATAATAAAGTGTCCCTTGAGAGAGCTTTTTGCTCTGTATATCATGTTATACACCATTATTATTTGAGCAAAACCAAAATACATTTTCAGAAAATACAAGCAGCATCAGAGCAACGTCCTTAAAAGCAGTGGTTTGCCAATGTTTAAGTGGTTTGCCCGTAATTAAGTGGTTTTCATGTTTTGCATTTTCGCTATTCATCTATGTCAATGGGGTTCAAGAAAACTTACTCAAACACTCAAGAACACAGTGTATCAATAATAGCTATTATATCACTCTAACGACACGTTTTTGCTTATCACAAATTCTAGCCCAGATTACAATACGCTTAAGTACGAGTGCATTTATAGAAAAACAAACAAAGGTGTTTTTGGCACGCGTTTTAATAAACAAAATGCTCCATGATCAAATAAATACACGTCACACAGACTTCCAAAAATTAACGTACTTGACGTCAAATTCATGCTAACTAAACTAGAAGTATATAAATGTTTTCAAGTTGAGTGCATGATCAATTTTTAAATATATACCATAGTATAATTTTAGAATTTTGATATACATTTGCATATATAGTATAAGAGAGACAGTAGTTTATCAGTCTATTTGACTGTTGTCTGTTACCCTCTTGAAATAAAGTTTTTGTACATACTTAAACATATATACAAGGTTAAGTTACAATATCCGTTGAACTCAAAACACCTGGAGCAATATTTTTACCGCCATATTTGAATTTTAAATTCAAGAATAAAATATTTTTTTCCCTTGTGCAAATGTGACTGGATTTCTTGCTGGGAATTTCGTTTTTAACGGAACAAATTTTCGAAAATATTTTTGACATTAACAAGCGACATAAATAATGTTTTGTGAACACGAGGCTCGAGAGTTAAGACTTAAAGGGGTTATATCACGAATTTTAGCCCCCCTTTTTTATTAGCTTAATTGAAAATTTGGATTATTTGAAGAACTATGACATGTCGCTGGACTTAAACAGATAAATATAAGTTCCTTAATTTTGCCTCCAAAGTCGGGTACTTTTTGCGAATTTTTTACGACGCCATATTGATACTTGTGACGTAGATAGTTGAACACGTCTGTTTCCGTCAATATAATATTATATTATAGGAGGTGATTTTGTTGTCGTTTTTCTTGTGTTAAAAACAAATAATGACAGTATTTTCAATAAAATATTAAAAAACAAGTTGTCCGGAAAGTATGGCTTCAAATCAGTGCTCAGATAATTCGAATTCGATGTCTGAATGCGTATCTGATTCGAGCTCGGAATCCGTGGGTTATGTCGAGCATTTAAACGACTTCGCATATGACGATGAACCGCTCGCAGGAGATGGTGATGAAGTGCATACTCCAGATGATCCCGATGGAATTCTCCTGCGACCTTAGAACAACGAAGTGATGGCGTAATTCCACTCGGTGAATGGTAAGTTGTTGTTTTCTCCTGTTTGTAATATACATAAAGTTACTTTATAAACCACAATGCTCCCACGTTTCAGGTGTAATTGTCAATGCTGTCATACCGATTTGTTAGAAGGCGCATTAGAGTACAGATGCTGTAAGGAAATAGGACCAGCTTTGCAGAAAATGACATTCGATGGCAGCATTGAGAAAATATCATGCATAACACAGCATGCCAAATTTGGGCCTTTAGTTCATGAGGCTGTCCTTGAAAACGTCGGGCCACTATTGAGAGATAGGAATGGACGTGCTTATCGCCGCCAAGCATCACAATCATTAAATATGTAAGATTGTAAATTGTATGAGAAAGAATGTTATCATCAACATTGTTTCATCAACAATAATTAGTCCAACCTTTTTATTTACTTCAGGTACTTGAGAGCTGTGGCATACAGATGGTTGATGCGATGGTTTTGTGGGTCTATGGGATGGGAGAATACTCGGCCTTTACCTGCTTGTGTTTACTTCTTTATTCGGAAAGCATATCCAAGTGGTAACACAAAAGGTTACATACCATCAGAGGGGCGATGATGGAAAGGTCTTTTACTTGTACACTGTAGAGACTGTTGGCCTTCTTTGCTGAGTTTAGAATGGTCAGGAAATATGCCTAGATGAAAACCAAATAGGAGATACATGGATGCACTATACGGTAAAGAAAATCTTTTCTTCAATGTCAGTCTGGGAAAAAAGAAAAATTATATGGAATTAAATCATAGCATAAATGTAAAATGGAAAATAGCAAGCCACATGAACTTATCTTATAAGGTCTTCACACTTGAGTGCACTGCATCCACAAAGGGCATGTTGAGCATTAAACTACAATAAAAAAAATTATTCATGAAAATTAATTAGTTGCACAATCGAGTGAGATAGTCATCTTCAATCTGACAAGTATACATACCATTCAATGTTATATCAATACTGTAATCATCAGGAAAGGTGTGTATATCAGTGCCCAGATAGGGAGGCTAGAGGGTACTATCACTTGCCTAAGGTGAACCCTCAGGCTGGTGGTGGGAAGGAGGTGCCTTACTTCTCCATTCCAGACAGGCTCCAAGCAATGTCTGACCACTGCCCTATCATCTACCAACTTCAATTTATTCTTTTTTCAGTGAAGCATTGACCTCGAGGATGTCCTTTCATTGGAGCTTTGCATTTAGTACATTTGCGAGTACTTTTATTCCCAGAGCTATTTAATATTTGATCTGCATCATCTGTTAGGTCTTGTAACTGCTGTCTTTGCTGTTCCACTAAGGAAAAAATGCAGATCATTACATCCTAAAATAATTGTAAACAATACCATTATCCCATACTTACAGCACGGATAAAGTGCAGCTTAAAGTCTTTTATACCAGCTTAAAGTCTTTTGTAAAGATGTAAGTTTTTTCTTAAGACGATGGCACGATTTACATGGAGACTGGGATTTACAAATATCTTCACCAACTGCATGTAGTTCTTCTTCAAATGGCGAATCGTTTGCTTCCCCAGTGCATACTTCAACATGCTCAGCTCCATCACTAGTAGAAGGTACTTCCTCATCGAGAGAACATGTTTCCTTCAGCGATGGCTTATGGAGAGTATGTCGAATAATCTACAAAACTTATATCGAATTTATATGACAAAAGAAAAATTAACATAAACAAGCGTAAACTTACTTGTCTGCGCTTTCGATCGGTTATTTCTTCCTGTGATGGTTCAGGAATCCCAGCCACGTCTATGGTTGGGATAGCGTCTTTCTTCAACCTTCTTTTGAGCTTGACTTGCACGCTCAAATTAAGGTCAAAACAAGAATCATCAAAATGCGCAGAACACCGACAGAGGTAGAGGAAGCCTCAAAACCCGGTCTATGTTTACGCACAAAATTTACCCATTTTCTATGTCTTTGCGGCTCTGTTTCTTTTTAGGAAACAGATGCATCGACATTCCTTCTGTTTTGAATCATTGGCGCAACTAATTTGATTAGGTCCGCCAGCAACACAGCGTTTTCCTCCGCGTTTCTTAATAAGATTACTAGTAGAATACGCCATGTTGATATATGTGTTCAACTATCTACGTCACAACTCATTAGCATACCGATCAAAAAGTTCGCAAAAAAAATGCTGAAAATCGTGACTTTGAACGTCCATAAAATCACTTTCACCAATCCAATTTCAATTATAATTGCAGATTTAAAATCACTGAAATAAGGTCTTTCAATTTAGCTAATAAAAAAGGGGGGCTAAAATTCGTGATATAACCACTTTAAGAGCATCGGCAAAATTCATCACATAATTACAAAAACAAAATACGCTAACAAATTCGTACTTACTCCTTAAAAAAACCCCCAGCTAATCTTTATAATCTTCTTGTGAATGCTGTCATGAAAAAGATCATTTCACACCGTACTCTCCACAAATTGGTCTTAAAATTCATAAATAACACAAACAATCTCATCTCAGCCATTCTCAATTCTCAACTATGAACTTTGATAATACACTGGATACCAGTTCGTGGGCACAGAAGCAATCAAAGTATCTAAGCACCTGCGTAAAGGCAAGTTAATAACAACTTACCACACAATAATCTGATCAGATATCATACGATCAGACTTTGTGCCTGCAAAGCCAGTGAAAGGTACTTCTCATAAAACCTACAAATCAAAATACGCTTTGTGTGATAAATTAAATATTACATGATATGTCATCTTGCTATAATCGACATTTGACTGTCTCCATGACAAATATGCACAATGTTTGAATGTCTCCCCTGCAAAATCTCTAATCATCTTATATGAGTGAAAGCATTGATGGAAAATGGGAAAAAAGACTTATCTAATATACACACGAAGAACAAAATCATTAAACTTATTTTTGAAGAGTCATTCAGAAGAGTCATTCATGAAGAATTATTCAGTAAAAGCTGCCATTGATCAAAATGACGGCATATGATGCAAGAGAATTGCTAAAAGGACTAGGGTGAAGAATTGTGAAAACCCTCAAAATTTAGCTCGGGATGCATGGATTAGAGCAGGCATGTGCAACCCACGGCCCTCAGTGATGCCAAGACAATTATCTTTTTTTACCATGAACTTTACGAAGCTGCGCAAAAAATACGGTTCTTAACATAGTGGCATAGCCGAATAAAACACACCAGTTCAAGGACGTTTAGTTATCTTTCGAGTAGCGTGGGTCATTTAAGATTCTTTGTCTTGAATTATTTAAAAATCTTCTTTTTCAAGTTATATATACTATTGAGAATTACAGGTGAGGTCTCAGTAACTTTTACTTACAAAATTGTCATATTTTCAATTGTTTTAAATGTAAAATTAACGAATGCCTTGTGCATTAAAAAGTAATGTTACTCAAGGCGATAATACCAGCAGCGCTCGTCAAAAATCATGAAATGGAGTTCAAGCTCTTTTCTCAACCATTTGATGTGACACCAGATGATATTCCAGACTGCTATCAAATGGAGGTAATTGATTTGCAGTATGACATGGATTTGAAAAGAGCATATGACAGCAATGATGTTATAACTTTCTATAAAAAGTATCTATGTGGAAAGCATTCAATTTTGGAGAAACATGCCAAAAAAATGATCTCACTCTTCGGGAGCACTTATTCCTGTGAGCAGTTTTTCTCCAAAATGAAATTTACTAAGAGCAAACACAGAAGTAAGCTCACAAATAAACACCTTACCAGTCAGCTTCGACTTGTCAGTACTTCTCAGTTGATTTATTCACACCTGTGATTATAAATATTTTATTCTATTATATAACATGTTGTGTCAAAGAAAATCGTTGTTGAGAAAAAATCTCATTTTGTACACTACAAAATGATGTCCTAGTCAATATTACTATTAGCTACGAAAAAAAAAGCAAGCGATATTCCGATTTTTTTTCTCAACTCACCTCGATGTGAGTGGCGGTTTGATACTATGCTACATAATGATTAATAATTAGAAACGTGAATGCGATGAATATGTTTTTTAGTTCTATGGGTATCGAATTTTTGTTCCCACGATGTATGGTCTAAATTGTATTAGCATTTTACCTTTTAACTGATGAAACTTTTCCTCATGCATCACACGATTCTGATTCGGATGAAACTACATGAACGTATTTTTGCATTAGTAATTTGAATGCTTTGCTTGCTGGTAAATGCATTTGATTTTACTGAGGTCATAATGTAGTTAAAAATGTTATATAGGTTTCAGCAAGGTTTGCGTCAGTTAACACTAAAAAATTAATGTTTCAAACGTTTTATTAAGGAATACTGCCTATAGTGACATTCGTTAACTTCCTACGGAAAAGTTGTGAGGTTGTTCGTTTTATCAATTATTGTTCGCACATGATTTACGTCCCGCATGGTGAATCCATAACTTTAATGTGCCCTTTCAGAATAATTAACATAATCAACATTAGTCTTGCGTACTTTAAGTAAGTGGATTTTTGTCTGCATTGATCGAGTTTATCATATTTTGTCTTATGCACAAATTTTTTAAAGTGAAAGCTTCGTTAAGTGTATGCTTTTTGGTCTAAAAACTGCGTCATACATAAACATCCTTGGTAAGTGAATCATGTGCATTGAATTCTATTTCATATTCCAAATCAATTATTTTGATTTAGAAACGTTCAAGGTCTTGCATGAATTACATTTGACGCGTCTAGTGTTGATTTCAAATCGCCTGCTCAAATAAACATATTCGACACGTGAAAAAGCAGCTGCACAGGCAAACTGATAAAATTGAATAATTTTTCATGGCATGTGAAAGTGGTGCTCATTTTGATGATGAAGTCATTATGTAATGCACAGTAATATTCTCTGAATATTTGGCTCTGGTTTTGTTTCGTCCTAAGGAGACTTCGACGTTGTTTTCATCATTTTTTTGGCATTGTCAGATTTCTTTAAAATCTGTCTTTCATTTTCATTAAAGTTAATGTGTGAATGTGTCTGGGTCACTGCGTAGGATGATTGATCTCATGCGCGGTAAAACATCTTATTACAGCTGTGCAAATGATTCTCGAATGAAACTCCCAGTTAAAGGGACCTTTTCTACATTTAACGTGTCTTTGTCATGATGCAAAATTCGACACACTGAGTGTTGAGTTCGAGTTACTCACCATATCTCTTTCTTAGTATACTCTATACCTTCAGTAACAACCACGAGTGAACTTAATGATCGAACTGATTTTTATTATTTTACAGAGCAGTATTTATACTCTTTATTACAAACAACAAATATTATTATTGGTCGGAGTAGTTCCTCTATTTAAGCTATATATGGTACATAAGGAAATTTAACTAACGTCAATAACTGTTCCTTGGCTCATAGCTGTGTGAGAACGGATACATTGATAAACTAAACTACGCATATACTATTTCGTTAACATGTTTTTGTGGTTTATGAGCATGACTCAACACTGAGCCATCTCCATCTTCAACAACAGCATTAGTAATGCATTCGACAATCACACCTTAATAATGGAATTTACGGCTGTCTGCGGGATGTTGATCTGTCAACAAATTTCAGCTGTTGCGTCCGCTCTTCGTCAGTTGTTACTGGATTTGAGCGACCCAATCCAATCTGTACCTACTTTTATCAAAAATATTAAATTACAAATAGTTCTATATGGTTCTATTAATGTTTACTTAATAAAAATTTTACAAGCAGATTAGAATTTTCATCATGTATAATATAAACGTTAGATGCATGTCAATGAAATACAAAGAATACCATACATAAGACAAAAGTTTTCACTATCCGATTAAACAATGAACAAGGTATGATGTTCTCATTGAATATTTGACAACTACTCGCTAAAGACAAGGATGGGGCAGTCTGCGGTTATAAAAATTTGTGATTACCATATGCATTTGATCACGAATTTCAACATTCTTTATTATGCATCACGTATATTTAACCACTCGTTTTGCGTTACACAACTTAAGTTACCTGAGATATTTCCATTATCAAAACAGTGTATGATAATCTTGTTTACTAATATGTTTTTGTTTCTTGTTTATTCATGCTTTCCTTCAAATACTAACACGACACTTGTCGAATATTGAATTAAAAACAAGTTCCGAATATTTCAAAATCTATACACAATGATTTAGAGAATAGAGTGAAAGAAAATCCACGAGTGAAAGCAAAATTACGTGGGAACTTATAAAATAACGAGGTTTCTGTATTTAAAAAAATCTCGTACAAAGATGTTGATTGTGTACTGTAAACAGACAAATGACAAAACGTTTGCAGTTTTTCGCAAAAACGATAATCATACTAACGATCCTCTATAAACGTGCCGTAAATATGATACAAGATTTCCGGAAACCCACGCCAAATAAATCTGTAAACAATTTGTATGTGCACGACGATGAAATACAACTCCAACACACACAACGCTTAGTTGTGTCACATGATTTTTTCAGGTCCTGAGACGATTGCTTAAATTGTCCAGCAAAGTGCGAACATCATATCTTCATTTAATTTCAATTATCGCACTGCATAAAAACATTCATATACACAACGCTTACTTGATTTTAGGGGGAACAACTCTGTCAATATCAAATTCAAAGTGAAAGAAAAGCAACGCACCATATTATCTAGGGTCTCACTATGATAATTAAAAGGCATTTCCAAAACGTCTATCTTTCCTTTGTCTATGGATTCCTTATTCTTACAAGTTTGATGAAAGTGCATCCAATGGCCAATGCTGGTGATTTGGGAAAAATGTGTAACTCGACTCAAACAAACCAGACAAATTGCACAAGGAATGAGACTGGTTTTCGTAATCAAAGTGATGTAAGTTTATAAACAAAAATTCTATTGTATGTAATTACAAAAATTTAATAAGTATATATTTATGTATTTAATATGAAACCGAAGAAAAGTTTCTCACTTCCTCAAGAAGTATTAATAACAACAATGGTGATCTCCACAGTTGGTGTCCTTACAAATGGTCTTCTTATTGTTGTTATTGTGAAGGATCCTTTAAACAAGGTAAGACGAGGACCGTGGATTACCATCTTAAGCTTATCTATAGCTGATTTCACTGCATCTTTGTCTCAATTCATGATTGTTGGATTGGGTAAATTGTTCGAGGTAAAACCATCAAAAGCTGTCATTTATTCTGTCCTTTTCTTTTGGATGTTTGGGGCTGCGGGCTCATTTTTTCACTTGACATCACTCACATGGCAAACTTACATAATTGCAAAGTATCCCATACGTAGCCGACAGATGTTGTCTACCAGAAAAATATACAAATTATGTGCGACTGTTTGGTTGATTGGCATTTGCATGGCATTTGCTGAAGTCACATCACTTTACATAAAAAAATTTGACCAGCTTATGTATATCTATATCACAGTATATGCTGTCTTGGAAATCGCTGTTTTACTTCAGATCATATTGAAGTGTTTCATACTTAAGGTAGTAATGCTAAGTCGATAAGACACTAAAGTACATGCTGAACAGCACAACACTAAACACCTTGAATTTGTAAAGGCAATCATTGTGCTGAATGTCTTATTACTGGTAACTGCATTTCCTTTTTTTGTCGCCAAACAAGTGGAGTTTATTCAAAGGCTAGGGAAACTACAAGGTGAATTGGCTGGACGTTTTTCATATTACTATAAGCCAGTGGCCATGATGAATTTTGCTCTCAATCCAATTGTGTATGCACTGAGGCTTCCAGATTATCGAAACAGTATAAAGGCGTTGTTTAGAAAGAAGAATACTGCTTTTACTCCAACATCCCAGTCAACGGACTTTTCCTTCCCGTCCACCAATGAAACATTTGCGATATAACTACATTCATCGTTCATAACTTCATGATTAATATATAAACTTTTTATTTGGTATAGTATAGGTAATATTAGCATAGTGTTAAAGAGAAGATGAAAGACAAAGAAACTATCATGATTTGTAGCGAGATTTTAACTGACTAAAATTTACAGCCAACTTTTTGATTTTTCTTTATGAGAAAGATCAGAAGTGTAATACTTTTTTAAAGGTACATATCATTAATCAAATAAACCTTGAACTTAGAGACGTTACAGATTTACTTAATGCTTCGATAAAAATTTTGAAAGAAAAAATGAGTCTTGGATGTTTGTTAAATTTTCTATAGCTTGTTGAAAAAATGACAACAAACTTACTTCATATATCGGCTGCTACTTGGAGGTTATATTGGAAAACAAATACTTCGGTATAAACAGAGCTTCGTTCCATCGCTCAAATAGTAAGTTGATCTGTTCAAAATAAAGAAAATGTGTACGCAGCTAACGTACAGTCGCAAGTGCACGGACAGCTTAAATACAGAATCCTTTCATCACAGGCATATGAGCCAAAAGAAACAATAACGATGAACCATCAAAATGAAATTTGCATAGTTTTTATTCTACTTGCGTTATGATGAAAAGTTTTCTTACACAAAAAAATTTTTGTGATGACACAAAGCACAAACTTTCATTGTGTGCTGAAACAGGAAATTTAGCTATAGCATTTATTAGTACGTTATTCTTAACATTGAACGAATTTATGTTTTGAAATATGACAAATCAAGATACCTACAACAAAGACTTTGCTAAGAATTCTCAATAACATGAGACCACGCTGGGCCCTGGTAAAGCCATAACTTTTAAATAACAACAATTCATTCTGTACACGAATAAAATTTATTTTTGTGAGTGAATCAGTTCACTGCAATATTGAAAAAACTAGACGACTGACCACATTTTGAAATAGAAGTGCCAGGGTGAGACATCATTAGTCATTTATCAAGAATATAATGATACGTCAAAACGAAGGATGGATTTAGGACAGGGTTGAAGAGAAATATGCACCACCATCCCTAGTCTTAGATACACAAGATGGAAGTCAATTTCCCTGAAAAATACTAATATATCAAACAATTAATGGACACACTTAACAGCCGGGCCTACCCCCCCCCCCTCCCACATACACTGACACACAGACACACACAAACCATCATCTCTGATCATTTCGGTGAAGACGGAAGACATTTCCTTTAATCACAATAAGAAATATGTTTGTATAACGGGAGGATGCCACTGCACTAAGAAGATTACTACAATCATCACGTGCATAAATTCATCCACTTTAGCGGGAAAAGATCGAGAACTATTTTCACTTAACCAGAAGAAATCATTGATTTTAATCTGAGCCAAAAACATTGACAGACAATGAAGAAAAGAGAGCTTCAATCTGAAACTTTGATCCCATCGTTAACTAATGACAATCAAAGTGAAAGATATGAAGTTTTGAAAGACGTACCTGTTCAAAACAGGCCGACTGACAGGTGCTTCACACAAAATGCACATCAGAACACCCACACACACCCACGGTTATAGATTTATCCATAATAAAGTCTTCTTTTAGAGAATTTTTTGCTCTGTATATCATGTTATACACCATTATCATTTGAGCAAAACAAAAATACATTTTCAGAAAATACAAGCAGCATCAGAGCAACGTCCTCAAAACCAGTGGTTTGCCCATTTTTAAGTGGTTTGCCCGTGTTTAAGTGGTTTGCCAATGTTTAAGTGGTTTGCCCGTGTTTAAGTGGTTTTGATGTTTTGCCTTTTCACTATTCGTCTATGTCAATGGGTTTCAAGAAACTAACTCAAACAATCAAGAAACTTTGTAAGGAATTGAACTCGGTGTATCAATAATAGCTATTGTATCACTCTAACGACACGTTTTTGCTTATCACAAATTCTAGCCCAGATTACAATACGCTTAAGTACGAGTGCATATATAGAAAAACAAAGGTGTTTTTGGCACGCGTTTTAATAAACAAAATGCTCCATGATCAAATAAATACACGTCACACAGACTGCCAAAAATTAACGTACTTGAAGTCAAATTCATGCTGACTAAACAAGAAGTATATAGATGTTTTAAAGTTGAGTGCATGATCCTTTTTTAAATATATATTATAGTATAATTTTAGAATTTTGATATACATTTGTATATATAGTATAAAAGAGCCAATAGTTTATCAGTCTATTTGACTGTTGTCTGTTACCCTCTTGAAATAAAATTTTTATACATACTTAAACATATATACACAAGGTTAAGATATAATATCCGTTGAACTCAAAACACTTGGAGCAATATTTTTACCGCCATATTTGAATTTTAAATTCAAGAATAAAATATCTTTTTCTCTTGTGCAAATGTGACTGGATTTCTCGCTGGGAATTTCGTTTTTAACGGAACAAAAAATTTTCGAAAATATTTTTGACATTAAGAATCGACATAAATAATGTTTTATGAACACGAGGCTCGAGAGTTAAGACCTAAGAGCATTGGCAAAATTCATCACATAATTACAAAAATAAAATACGCTAACAAAATCGTACCTACTCCTTACAAAAAAAACCCAGCTAATCTTTATAATCTTCTTGTGAATGCTGTCATGGAAAAGATAATTTCACACCGTTATCTCCACAAATTGGTCTTAAAATTCATAAATAAAACAAACAATCTCATCTCAATCATTCTCATTTCTCAACTATGAACTTTGATAATACACTGGACACCAGTTCGTGGGCACAGATGCAATCAAAGTATCTAAGCACCTGCGTAAAGGCAAGTTAATAACAACTTATCACACAATAATCTGATTAGACATCATACGATCAGATTTTGTGCCTGCAAAGCCAGTGAAAGGTACTTCTCATAAGCCCTCCAAATCAAAATACGCTTTGTGTGATAAATTAAATATTACATGATATGTCATCTTGCTATAATCGATATTTGACTGTCTCCATGACAAATATGCACAATGTTTAAATTGTCTCCCCTGCAAAATCTCTAATCATCTTGTTTGAGTGAAAGTAGTGATGGAAAATGGGAAAAAAGTCTTATCTAATATACACACGAAGAGCAAAATCATTAAACTTATTTTTGAAGAGTCATTCAGAAGAGTCATTCATGAAGACTTATTCAGTAAAAGTTGCCATTGATCAAAATGACGGCACATGATTCAAGAGAATTGCTAAAAGGACTAGGGTGAAGAATTGTGTAAACCTTCAATATTTAGCTCGGGATGAATGGATTAGAGGGTAGTTAGCGATCGTGTGATTTGGTCTTTTAAGGATTCAAACTTTATATTAGGAGTAAGTTATCGTATATGACGGTGGTGTGTATGCAAAATCATTGAAAACCATTCATGAATAGCCTTTGAATCAGAGGTACGAGAGTCAGAAACACTGATTGTAATTACTTAACATTACTCACTATGTCTAACGATGGTAGATTAATTAAAATCATTTTGAAGAATTGAATATTAAAGAAATAGCAATATTCGTCTTGTCAAAATAAAATTTTGCTATAGCATTTATTAGTACGTTATTCTTAACATTGAACGAATTTATGTTTTGAAATCTGACAAATCAAGATACCTACAACAAAGACTTTGCTAAGAATTCTCAATAACATGAGACCACCCTGGGCCCTGGTAAAGCCATAACTTTTTAATACAACAAGACGTTCTGTACACGGATGAAATTTATTTTGGTGAGTGAATCAGTTCACTGCAATATTGATGAAAGTAGAATTCAATACATCGCGTGCAGGGATACTTCGTCTCACTTTCTACACAAACATACAGCCAATTATCCATTTTCTCCTTTGTCAGTACTTCCTGTATACGTGAGAAGTTTGTGTACATAATCATGATGCCCAGCCCAAGTTTTGAATTAGTCTGACGTAGCTGTTAAGCCACACCGGACGTCAACGTCAACCCAGAAGAATATTTGTTTTGTCTGTTTCAAAACACCAGATACATACACACGATCTTAATTTACCATACCATATAAGACATTTTATTTTGCTATCAGTTGAGTATTTTTAAGAAGAAGAGTTAAGAACGCATCACACGACGAACGCGAAAGTCGTTTTTTTTATAAGATCCAAAACTTATTTTAAGAAGGCCAGCAGACGACAAAGAAGTTAGTCTTGGAGGTATATAATAATTATTATTTGTAATAACAGGATTACGGCGTTTTACCAAACCCTGTCGTTCGTTTGAGCTGATAGTACGATTAATAAAACATTTCGACATGTGGTTTATCGAATCCTTTTAAATCAAATTTTAGTCATCGATTTATGTAATTACCAGACCTTGTACACTTCAAATTAGATTTTGTATAAGTAAATTATATTATTTTTTAGACAGGTGGAACCCGGCGTACATTTCCTTACATAAAATCAATTTCTGAGGTCACGCTATGGTACCTGTACAATATGTTTATAGTTACGTTGTTTTGATATGTTTGTTGAATATATATCCAGTGCCAGTGGTCAAAGCTGGCGACAATTCTATCAAAATGTGCAATTCGACTAAAATAGATCAAGTAAATTGCACAAGGAATTCCTCTGTTTCGCAAAATAATACAAAAGTAAGTAGTATTGTATAAAAAGTATTATAAGTCATGAAAATAAACTCGAGTGCTTTGTTGACTGCAAAGAGAAATGCATTCAAAGAAATACATATACAAGCATGCGAGAGAAACGTAAACGCGTTTGCTCTTTTGTATTACTCAACAACGTTACATGCAGTGATTTTATCATGAAATTTGACATTTTGAGAATAAGCAAAACTATTAAGTGCAGTGCATTTAATTAGCATTTTGTGGCTTCATGGTAAGCTGTAAAGATAAACATTGCTATCCATAATTATTTGGCAAAATCAAATAACTGTATGATAAAACATGCATAAAACGATTTCACCAATATCTGCGAATACGAACGAAAAATATCAAAACAATACGAGAAATTGTTTAGAATTACCATTATTCTATGCATATTTACAATATCAAGTCATTTTCACTTGCCTGCTTTCTTCAAGAGTTCAAGAGTACCAGGCAAAAGACAACATCTGCATATTTCTCCATGCATATCAAGAACTTCATTTTTTTTATATGTACCGAGATATGATATTTTCATCAATATCTTCTCTGTGTAATGAACTAGGCAATTACATGATATTCAACATGGTTTCTTCCTCGTGAAATTGGAATTTTCATAGCAAAGCTTGTGTTGGTTGCCTTGATAAGAACAAAACATAAAAATTACAACATTCCTCAAATTATGTTTACTTTATGTGGTGGCGTAAAAGAAAGCCCGTATATTTGATCTTGCTATGCGAACATATCACAGTTCACACACAGTGGAAACTGAAAAATCAGTTTCTACAAAAATAAATAATGGCAATGTTCTCAAACTCATATATAAGACTGTGTGTGAACTGTGATATATTCGCACAGCAAGATCAAATATACGGGCTTTCTTAAAAGCTTATGCAAAAGTCGATGATAGTAAAACGACATCAATTTAAGTTTGGTCATCATTTGCAACATAAACATAAGCATAAGAAGAACTGACAGTTGATAATCTTTTGCAGTTATGCTCATATTTATACTTTTGCCGAAAGTGAGAACCAGGATTTGAGCGTTATAATTTAGTTCCTCGTCTAAAAAGAACAAATTTTTGTTTTTAAAAATATTGCAACATATAATAAACATATATTTATGTATTTAATAAGACACCGAAGAAAAGTTTCTCACTTCCTCAAGAAATATTAATAACAACAATGGTGGTCTCCACAGTTGGTGTCCTAACAAATGGTCTTCTTATTGTTGTTATTGTGAAGGATCCTATAAACGAACTAAGACGAGGACCGTGGATTACTATCTTAAGCTTATCTATAGCTGATTTCACTGCATCTTTGTCTCAATTCATGATTGTTGGATTGGGTAGATTGTTCGAGGTCAAACCATCAGAAGCTGTCATTTATTCTGTCCTTTTCTTTTGGATGTTTGGGGCTGCGGGCTCATTTTTTCACTTGACATCACTCACATGGCAAACTTACATGATTGCAAAATATCCCAAATACAGACAACAAATATTATCAACGAAGAAAATTTACATATTATGCGCCACAGTTTGGTTGATTGCCATTTGTATGGCATTAGGTGAAGTCACGTCACTTTACATAAAAAAATTTGACCAGCTTATGTATATCTATATCACGTTATATGCTGTCTTGGAAATCGCAGTTTTACTTCAGATCATATTGAAGTGTTTCATACTTAAGGTTGTATTGCAAAGTCGACAAGGCACTAAAGTAAATGCTAAACAGTACAACACTAAACACTTTGAAATTGTAAAGGCAATCATTGTGCTGAATGTCTTATTACTGGTAACTGCATTTCCTTATTTTGTCGCCAAACAAGTGGAGTTTATTCAAAGGCTTGGAAAAATACAAAGTGAATTGGCTTGGCGTTTTTCTTACTACTACAAACCAGTTGCCATGGTGAATTTCGCTGTCAATCCAATTGTGTATGCACTGAGGCTTCCAGTTTATCGAAACAGTCTGAAGGCGTTGTTTAAAAAGAACAGTTTTATTTCTACTGATACAGCACAGCAATCGACAACTTCGTTCTGTTCTGCTGATGAAACGATTGCTTTGTAGATAATATGCATTGATTATTATGCATTGATCATATATAACTTGATTACAAATATATCCAATGATTATTTTTTTAATATAGGTAATAACATAAACTTTAGTGTAATTTGTAGTTATACTTTTGTGTAATTTTTAGTGTAATGTTTGGATTTGTAGCCAATTTTGCCTTCAACAAACTATTTTGATAACCACATCAAAACATAGTACAATATCGTATCTAATAATACGTTGTCCTCCTTGCTGCTTATTTACATCTTTACGAAGAAATTCTCTACATTGAATTTAGCGTGAGCAGAAGCTTTGTGTAACAGGTAAAACTTGGCAGCTTTGTTGCATCGAAAATTTCACAAGAAAAGCAAGTTGCCCTTACAGACTTAACTTCTTTCAAAATGGCAGAACGTTTTCATTGATAAAACAGCATGGTCAGCAATCAGCATGTATTTAAAAATTCAGCCAGAATCGTTTTTAATTATACTTTATAGTTTGCAAGAAAAAGTATGTTTAACAATCTATCAATATGTAGCATTTTATCTGCACTAGCAAAAAGAGGAAGGCAGAAATGAGCATAGTCTTAAAATTCACACATACACATTAAATTTTCATACAACTATATTTGTATAATTTTAGTGTTTGATAGGATAAGCTGATAATAAACGAACAATGAACAATACACTTTAATGAATACATTTATTTATTGTCCATAAAGATATTTGAACGTCTTCCTCCACACCATGTTACGCTAGAATAAGGACATCCTCTTTTTTTCATATGGTGATGCAGCTGACGCTTTTCCTTTTTGTTTTCCAGTTCAATTGGATTCTCCAAAGATTCGCCATTCAACCACAACCATTTTGGTTATGCACAGTAGGAAGAAAAAAACACAATATGAAGAAAAGAACAAGGCCATATTTCAACCCTTTCATACTTTACACAACAGCCCAAGAGAAGCTTGACGTCCAATTCTTCAAGTTTCAAAGTAGATTTACTGCCAGTACATCATTCCTATGGCACAGCTATATTTATACCATCAAGCATCAAGTGTTTTTAAACACAGACATCAAGCTTCTTAACAGCTTGAGTTTACTAAATGGATTCGGGCTGTTCTTAGTTTGGATAATACCTTTCAAAGTCTTTAAGCAACAAGAGAACACTTGACAGATAAAAAATGATGAGAACCGAAAGCCGTGTCCTATTACTATATGTTGCTTTATTGGTTATATGGGTATACAGTGTTTTATGTTTTGCCAATAATTTCGCTATTGTTTGGTTCATTTTAGACACAGCTTGAGCAAAATTATATTTTGTATCGGTGTTCAACTGCATTGAAGCATCAAGTGCTTTTATAAACTGTAGTGACAACGTGTGTTAAGTACGTAGCGTTGCCAGATGGAATAGAATCTTCTAACTTTGCAAAACAGCATTCACAAAAAATGAACATTCGAAACTACTTGTTTTTATACATACGAAATTTTTTGTCTGAGTAATCTTCACATCCTCCTTTAAATAAAATCGTTACAGTTGTACGTGTGTTAAATAAATTTTCATATTTTCATTAAATCATTAATGACTTTGAGCTGACCTACACAATTTTAGCCTTACTTGTAATAAACAAAGTACATAAAGCAGTTCCTGTTATACAGATGCTACAGTTCCATTAAATAGAGTGCTCATACAGTATAATCACCGTTTTTTTAATCAATAACAGCTATTTTAGTTATTTCTTGTTGGAAAATATCTTCAATCATAAATCCCAACGTAAAGGCGCTGAAAATGTAGTAAATAGGGGTTATATAATCTATACATATATACATGCTCATTAAATGTTGGCCTGTAGCATTTTCTAACTTTAGCTTTAACTTCATAACGTAAGAATAATGTATTACATGATATTACTAACATCCTATATGCTCATTGTCTATATAGTTAGTAAAAGTATATAGTAGAATTCCCAGCATTCATGTAATCTTAGAAATCTCTATGACAAGTTCATGACATAACATATAAGTTCATTTTGACTTCTTGAAATATCAGCTGTTTTTTAAATGCTCTGAGCAATTAAAACATCAGAGAGTCCTATATAGTTGCGCATGAGATGCGTCAAAACTCTATGCATGTGATGGATATGACGGATCGTAGAACTAAAAATACTTTTTCCTTTGTTTTATAAATATTTTAAAGGCGTCGTTCAGTTTGGACTATTCAAGTGGAAAAAGATGTTTGAATGTTAAAACCTAAAATATGCAGTGTATGAACGAAGAGTGTTTGATTGTTGTCTTCAACTTATTTTTTATTACTTTTTGCTTTTCCATCTAAAATTCAACGACGAACAAACCCATGTATACATGTTTGACTTTGAAAAACGGAATTATTTTTGTCATGTATAGACTCTGTCTTACGGTCACCTTTCATAGTTCTATAAGCACAATTGTATTTTCTAGTTGACATAGAATTTTTTCTTTTTCCTTTCAAATCTGCATATCATTTTTATTGTATGATTCAATTATGACAGATAAATTAATGTGAAAGTCCATAACATGCGTGGTTATTTTATTGGTTAATATTGCCTGGTATGACGACATTGTAATTTTCAAATAAACTTTTTATGAAAGTTTTGTTGACGTCATGCTTGATATTTGAAGCTACGATAATAATTTTCGTTAAAACACCACATATTAAAATATGTATTGCAAGCCTTTTTCGTCAACGTATATTTCTAAAAGTGATTTATATGTTTGCTCTTGTTTAGGCTACATGAATACATGGCCACAATTTGTTGCGGTTTAAATTATATTTTATGCATGTATATTGATGTGTTTTAATCCAATCACACAACCTGCTGACAAACGTACACCCCATATACCCCCCCCCCCTCACCCCCATTCTTTTTATTGTATGTAACCCATGTCTCGACGCTGTGTCTTGTCCTGTTTCAGAGTCAAGTAAACGTCGACCGAAACAGAAACGAAAGTCCGGTCGCAATCCCAGAGTTCCATTCACTCCCAAACAGCTGACGACCCTGGAAAACAAGTTTGAAACAATGAAGTACTTGACAAGTGATGAAGTTCGTAGTTTGTGTTTGGAACTGACGTTACCGGAAAACAAAATCAAAATATGGTTTCAAAATCGACGAGCAAGAGAAAAAAAGAAAAAGTTCACAAAGCAGCGATGAATATGTTGACGTAATGACAATCGACGGGGAGAACAGTTAGCTATGTATGACGACACATGCACTGAAGATTAGTTATACTTTTTTATAGAGGTCTATAGTTAGAAAATCAGTTATGCAATCATAGAGTTTTTATTGTAGTAATCTTGCACAGCGTACGTTCAACAGGACTTTTATTTATTGCTGTCAATATTAAATAATGAGCATAGGAATTTCATCGATGACGTCATTCGAGCATTTCCGCTTACAAAGAGAAAACACTTTAAATGCAAAGTTTCATAATAGAACACATCGTAAAAACCTCAGGTTGTCACATAGGATAGAAAATAAAGCATACTTTTACATTTCATCATCATCTCAATGTCCATTTTTGTAATAAATATAAAAAATTAAAAATGCATTTAAAGTTGAGTGACTTAAAATAAGGTTTACACTGCAGGTCGATTTAAAGATGCAAACACAAAATCAAGGTTTATGATTGGTTCAAAGTATAGTGAAGTAAAAGATGCCATAGAAATGCCGAATCTCAATAATTAGAGTTTATCACTGTTATCTAATTGACCCAATCGGAAAATCAGTTTATATAAGGTAAGTACTAATTTAAAAATGAATACACAAAAGAGAGATTAAAAAAATGAATGCAACAGAAAAACATAGCTACCACAGCGTAATAATGCAATACCTAGATTAAAATATTTTATGCGGTTTTACTCTATGTGATTCACTGACATTTACGTACATAAATTTTATCGAAAACGAAAGTTCTCTAGACGGATGGTTGTATTGAAAAATACTAAATTTATAGTAGAAAAACATAAGAAACACACGATACAGAGAGTTAAGAGGTTCAACTACCTTCCCACCATCTCTCGCAAGAGAAGTACCGGTACCACCACCACCACCTTTCTTGCGAGAGAAGTACATGCATCACAACCACCTCTCCCACAAGAGAAGTACTGGTACCACCACCACCACCTTTCTTGCGAGAGAAGTACATGCACCACCATTATCCCCTTTACTGCAAGGGAAATACCAGCAGCACCACCACCCTCCTCTCACGTAAGAGAAGTATTGGTACCACCAATACAACCCCCTTTCCAGCAAGGGAAATACAAGCACCACCATCAACCTCTCTAACGCAGAAGTAATACAAGCACCACCACCAACCTCTCTAATGCAGGAGAAGTACAAGCACCACCATCAACCTCTTTCCCGCAAGAGAAGTACAAGCACCACCACCAACCTCTCTCCCGGAGGAGAAGTACAAGCACCACCATCAACCTCTCTCCCGCAAGAGAAATACAAACACCACCACCAACCCTTCTCCCGTAAGAGAGTACAAGCACCACCACCAACCCTTCTCCCGCAAGAGAAGTACTGTCACCTCTCCACCCTCTCATGCGAAAGAAGTACCAGCAACAGTAGCAATGATGTCAAGAGTTGAGCTCCAGTTATCTAATGCTGTAATGACTTAATACAAATTTATGACAATTCTCCATACCCCTGTATCATTAGAAACTGTGCTTTAAACTTTAAGAACGAAGCTTTGAGCTTTTAAACGTCTTCAAAAGGTTTAAACAATAAAAGAAATAAAAATGTCTTATTCTTTTACAAGTCACATATTTACACAATTCTCATCAATCCTAATGTATAGTTCTATAGACAAAAGTATTTTGGTAAAAAAATACTATCAATGTACAACAAAACGATATATTATCAATATCCAATAACAAAAACAATTTTACACAATTCTCATCAATCCTAATGTATAGTTCTATAGACAAAAGTATTTTGGTAAAAATATATTATCAATATCCAATAACAAAACAATTTTACAAAACGACACAAACATAAACTCGACATCATAAACAGTTTCAGAAAAGTTGTCAAAGAACACCTGTCATTTCTGCATATCACTTAATAACAAAAAAATTTGCGCGAAATAATAAACGCACTTTGTAATGATAATTAAAATCTTTCATTTCTGACATAGCTTTTAGTGTAGCTAATATTAAAATCGGAACTGTTGAATAATTAAATTTTACTGATGCATTTACTCCAATTTTCCCCTGTTTTTACTTAAAACAAACTAGCTAACAACTTTATCATTATGAGCTATATATTCTAAATCCACTAAACTTTGGTTTCATTTAAAATATAGAATATGATATAAAAATTTCTTTGCAGTAGTTATAAGGTTTATGGGTCTTCGAATACAATAATTCGCTGTTGCGCAAAAGGAATATTTCTCATTATCCTTAAAATGAAAGTTTGGGTGTAAAACATTACACCGGAGTATAGGGCGATTTAGAACGAAAACGGGATTTTCTATTTTCAAAGTTCTACTTTTATTTACAAGAGTCCTACCCGTAGAATAAACTATAATGTCAAAGGATAGTACAAAGTCTTAAACAACTTCGCCCTGTTTGACTTAAGTTAAACCAGCCTTAAACATGTTTAGACATTTTTAGTTTGTTGATAACTTTCAGTCTTTCACAGCTTAACTCTTTTATTATAAGACTTTATACTTTTTAAATTGATAACATTTAATAAACCAAGTCATTCGCGCAGTCCAAATTGAGCCCCACATTCAATCTTTTTATGTTGTGAAATTTTAATTCATTTTGGATGGAAAACTGACTTAAATCAATTTGCTTAACAATCAGCTTATCAATTGCCCACTCGGGATAAAGACTAGTGATCACAATGATAACACAAAGTTGCATTGAAAGATAGAAGTTGCTATTTTAACACTGTTATCTTGACTAGGTGTTGTTAAATGATGTATTTTAAGTGATTTTCGATTGCCATAAGCCCATAACGAATAGCAATGTAACATAAGAAACATCAAAACTAGACGACTGACCACATTATGAAATAGAATTGCCATGCTGAGACATCATTAGTCATTTATTAAGAATTTAATGATACGTCAAAACGCAAGGATGGATTTAGGACAGGGTTGAAGAGAAGTATGCACCACCTCCCACAGTCTTAGATACACAAGATGGAAGTCAATTTCCCTGCAAAATACTAATATATCAAACAATTAATGGACACACTTAACAATCGGGACTCCCCCCCTCCCCCCCACATACACAAACACACAGACACACACAAACCATCATCTCTGATCATTTAGGGGAAGACGGCAAGACATTTCCTTTAATCACAATAAGAAATATGTTTGTATAACAGGAGGATGTCACTGCACTAAGAAGATTAGTACAATCAACACGTGCACAAATCCAACCACTTTAGGGGAAAAGATCGAGAACTATTTTCACTTAACCAGAAGAAATCATTGATTTTAATCTGAGCCAAAAACATTGACAGACAAGAAAGAAAAGAGAGCTTCAATCTGAAACTTTGATCCCATCGTTAACTAATG